GTAAACAACGTTCTCACAGGACCGGAAAGGACGTTTTCATGACAACATAAAAATCAACTGTTCGACAGGTAATTCTGTATTCGGTACGCCAAGAGGTACCTCAAGAAGATTACTAGAAGATTATTAGAGATTACTGAAGATCAGAATCCAGAAGAAAAAATACCATAGAAGACAAAAGAAGTCAGAAATGAAGTCTCTGTTTTATGTGGTGTAGTTACAGTAACGTTTAGAGTGTTATCATTGTCTGCAGTTACGAACTGTTATAGCTACAGTAAGATTGTGTTACAACTAATTGTAGTTCCGCCTGGTGAATAGCCAATAAATCGATTCATCTAATCCGAAACCCATTAATTACTTGTCGCGTTACCAGGATACGTGGCAGTGTCACTACTAGATTCTACGTAGAAAAATCTCTCATGTTGTTATAACAATTGCATCTCGTGGGGTGGAAATGCTCTACCTAATTTCACAAGAACCAACGACTCGCTCACTTAATCCGTGTAACTTCTTTCTCTTCAGAATGATTAAATGTCGTCTAAAGGGACCACACTCTGGAAAGGGGAAGGGATTCATAAGGTTACCACGACAACTATTCTAAAGAGAAGGCACCTGGAACTGTTTCGACAGTGGGAAACAAAGCTGGAATTCACATAGAGCCAGAGGCCGGAAATGTGAGTGCAGTCTTGTTATTTGTCAGAACTCTTGCACTTATTTAAAGGAAAGAGCCTACAGTCGCTCTGCCTAGGATAATACTGCAAAACAATTACATGTATCCCCACTTCCTGAAATTCGTGTAGCTCCTAACCACAGTAGCATGTACTGGCGCTGGGTCAGGTGCGGGAAGCAGAGATAAATTTAACGGTTCTCAAAGGATACATCGTAGGAAATAATGAAAATATGAGATTTTGTAAGAATATTTTAATAGACCCACTCACTCATGGAGCTGAGCTCGTCTTGAGAAGTCGCTATTTGTGCAGCGACTGAAGAACTTCCCAGCATTTTATGGAGCCCGAAGGTTCATTCACGTATTCACAAGAGCCATCTACTTGTCCCTATCCTGAGTCAGATCGATCCAGTCCATACCATACCATCCTATCTCTCTAATATCCATTTTAATATTGTCCACCCATCTAAGTCTTGGTCTTCCTAGTAGTTTCTTTCCTTCTGGTTTTCCACCAATATCCTACATGCATTCCATTTCTCCCTCACATTTTGATAGGCCAAACTGGATCAAATTAAGACTCACTTAAAAGTAAAATAATTTTTATTATTGGTATAGATTAAAACGAAGTATTCGTTTCTTTACAGGCTTATCAAAAGTGCATTTATTTTTAAAGATGAATATGAATTTAACATTTCTGAAACAGTTGCAAATTGAGGACCAACTTCTTCAAAGAAAGACCTGCACTCATTAGTCAGTTCGCTGCTGATGCTTTTGTGGTAGAGCCTATCCTTGACAATAGAAGAGGGTTACGTGCTCATCCCGAGGTAATAAAATGGTGTTATAAATGATCCTAGTTCCGGAATTGTACTAGGATAACTTAATTAGACTCCCACATTGCATGATCATTTTAACACTAATAGAAAGGTTAGCATTAGTTAAAGTCGGTTTTAAATGGTTTAAAATCATAATAAATTCACAAACGCGCAATGAAACAGTTATAGCGCGACACATCGGTTTTGTTTAATTATCACGAAAGCCGTGAGACTTGGAGCAGTCGGGATAGCTTGGTATAGCGAGGGGCTGCGGGTTTGATTCCCGGCGCCCAAGAATTGTTTTTCCCTGCAGCGCCCAGACAGGCCCTGGGGCCCATCCAGCCTCCTGTCCAAGTGGTATCGGAGACTCCTACCCCAGGAGAAAATCGACGAGGAGTGAAGCTGACCTCTCATCTCCACCTAGTGCCGAGGTCAAGTACGGTGGAGCTATACCTCCACTCCCCCTTATGTCTTCATGGCGAAACGTACAAACGTACACGTAAAACGTAAAGTTATACTTGTGCTTAACTAGTTAAGCACTATGCCATGTAGACGTATGGGGAAGTAGATCTATAGATCCACATTTTCTTGAACTCGGCACTAGCTCGAGGTGAATGATCAACTTCACGACCCGGCCGCTTTACCCACGGGAAAGTGCTCCCGGTACCCTTTGAATAAGAGGTTGGGTGAACCTCAGAGCAGATCTGGACGACGTGTAGAAGAGAAAATTCTTGTCCCTAACGGGACTCGAACTTCGATCCCTCGGTCGTCCGGCAAATAGCCAGCCGCTATAGCGACTACGCTATCTTGGCTCCGTACGTCTCCATACCCTAATGATTAATTAATGAAACACAGAGACTTGACGGAAAAGGCTACTGGACATAGAATGAGTGTTTGTTCTGTACGTCTCTTTAAGACGTCTTACGCTACGATGTGTATTTAGCGACTTTAGCTAAGATGCGTAGGTCTACAAGTAAAGTGTCCATTATTACTGTCCGACTTACCAGAGTTGGACTGACACGACAGAGTTCAGTAAATCTTCCCTGTATCGATTTTCAAGAACATTTGTTCACTGATCCACGAATTATTTCACGTGGGTATACAGACACGGCGAAGCTAACAGACGCATTTACAAATTGTCATTGTAAACGTTCGAGAGCACCCATTCTTTACAATGAACCTGCTTAGAGATAGATCAGCTGAGAAATGCCTACCTGCGTGGGCGTGAGGCGAATGATGCTGGCAAGGTGTTCTCGTTCGGGCGCCGACAGATACCGCTGCTGTCGGAACCTGCGCTCCAGCTCGTATGTCTGTGCCTTGGAGAACAGAACTCTCCTCTTCCGCTTCTTGGAGCTCCCGGCCTGCGCCCCTCCCTGGTTTCCTGACTCATGCTGCCCCTCTGACTCCGGGTCGTCTTCCTCCGTGTCCAGCATGTGTTCTTCGCTATCCTGTCCCAAGAGGGGCGCCCTCATTAAAGTTGGTGGGAGTGTGCTGGATGAATCCGGTCCATGGCCACTTGACGGACTGTTGGCGCGAGGGGGGAAGCTATCCAGAGAGACGGAGCTGGAGTGGAGATCGGGCTCCTGCTCGGGACAACTTCGAGAAGGGTCTGGGGGCGCCAGAGAGCTGGGTGAAGTGCTGTCAGGGCTGACCTGCTGTTGCTGGGCGCCTGCAACAGGAAGATGGGTAGACATGAACTCTTCTTGCTCCGCGTGCAAACAGCACTTTACTGACTGAACCGTTTCAAAGGGTGGTTTTAAGTGCATTCTCTTATGTGGGTACTAGTGTTTCGGAGTAATATACTGCCTTAATCTTCAGGGTATAATTTGGAGGCAGCAAGTTTCTCCGAACCCTTCGTAACGACCTAACAAAAAGTCAAGGACTCAACTTTCCAAAAAAACTTACTCCTCTGTAATTTCGCTCTCGTTGGTCATGTTTGCTTACTTAAAACAAAAAGCTATTCTTGAAAAGACGGATGAGCCATACATGGCACACGTGCCACTTGTTGAACATTACTGCTGAAGGTTTCCTGCATAATATTTAACTCTTTAGATATTTAGTTTACTTTCATTATTAAAAAAAATAAAAGTAGGTTTATGAGATATCCTTGCTGTCTGTGTGTTTGTGTGTCTGTACGTCATTGCCCTTATTAACTTTAGAATGGTGGATCCAAACGTTACGAATCGTGGTATGCATATAAAGTCACCTGAGCTAATCTCAATGGCAAAATTAGTAAATCTCTTAAATCAGTAATACCAACACTACATACCCTGACATTTCTGAGGAAATACCTTATTATTATTATTATTATTATTATTATTGGAGGGGGTGGGTTTCCCCATGCACCGCGACTAATAGTCTATTGTACGTCCCCCTTTAATATTCTACCAGTCGCCATACCCTTCTGGTACTGGTGCTCGCTATCAGCCCCGTTCATCCAGCGAGGTCGGCCCTCTACTGGCAGTGGTACCCGATACTTCCCCATCTACCGGAGGCATTGGAAACTACTTGGGCGGGAAACTTTTTACCTAATTTTGCTCAGAGGTCTACGACACGGGACCCACGGCTTAAAGTCCCTCCCGGAGGACTTGTTCCCCGAATTTTTCCGCCTTTAAAAATTCCACTACCTCCGCCGGCTTTGAACCCGCGTACCTTGAGTTGGAACGTTACCCCTAGACTACGGAGGCCGCTGAGGAAATACCTTAATATTGCTTGAACACACGTGTCAATCTTCATGAGACTTGGCATGTCATGCCACCTGAGACCATCTCAGTGGCGTGTATTTTAAATCACTCTCATCAGTAATACCAACCCTATAACCTTTCAAACTGTTGTTGTAATACCCCTAACATTACTCGAATAAATCGCCGTTAATCTTGGTATGTATGTGTCAAGTCGTCTGGTTCTCATCTCGACTGCATACATTTGTGCATAAATTTGTATCCTTCACATTAATAATACCAACACTACACCCTCTCAAATTGGAGAGATAATAATCATATTACCTGAGTGCCCAAACAAATCTTCATGAAATTTGGTACGTGTGTCATGCCATTTGAGGTCATCTCTACGGTGTATTTCATAAATCACTACCATCAGTAATACCAACATTACAGTCTCCAAAATTGTTTTTTTTTTTACGTATTACGTATTCTTTCTACTTGGTGTATCAAATGCTCCGCTTACCGTGAAAGGAAAGTAGGCGGTTAGTTCCTCCAAGAACTCCTTGTTTATTACGCGAAATTTACACATAATTTCACACATTAACTCGATCATCCATATTGGATCTGACGTTGTGACGGAGCTGATTATGAGGAGTACTTCCTTCTGCGTTGCAACACGTGTAATCTGGAGAGAGGGAACGTGTCTCCTCCAAGGCCGAAGAGAAAGCCAAGCAAGTGGAGAGCAAACGAGCACCAAGCTCTTCAGAAATGCCCGGTCTTTCCCTGTATATGATTGGTTTCCATACCAGCACTCCATTACACTGTAGTTCTGTAGCAGCCAGAACTTTAAAAACGAATAAATTTCAAATTAAGGAATTAAAGTTCACTCATGTAATTAAAAATTAATTGGTAATGACCAGGGCTCGATTTTGATGACATGAAAATATTTAAAAAATGACCAAAAAAAATCCAGAAAAATGACCTAAAATATGACCCAAAAATGTAATATGCAGGCCCCGGATTTTGATGACATGAAAATATTTAAAAAATGACCGAAAAAAGCCAGGAAAATGACCTAAAGGAGAAAAGAAGAACACTTCGCTTCCATGTTATTCACATTTCAGAAAACATATGAAGAAAATTCCCTAAAATGGCCAAAAATTACAAGAAACACCCTTAAAAGTACAAAAAAAATACCAAAAAATGACAAAATATTACCTATAAAATTTACATTTCTGTAAACAGCAGCTCATATCCGAGATTTATACATTTAAGAGAATCGCATAGGATACAAGGAAAAAATTCGGGCCCTGGTAATGACGGTACGAATCGTACCAAAAAAATCTAGGCCGACCACATTGCTTATACATTGCTTGAACATCCGTGACTGTTGTACATATTGACAAGTATACCCACTAAACTTTATATCTGCATTAATAGTATTGTCACGCAGTATGTGTGACTATAGATGGGGTTTGGATTGGTGAATAGTTTTATTAACCACTTACAGGTCGTAACTACAAATAACTGTAAGACTATCGCTATTGCCACACAGTCTAATGTTCTCAGTCTGTTACTAGACGTTTCCTGCTAACGGCTCCAACAGTGACTATTTCTCTGCCTCTGGGCTCAAGTCTTCTCTTCACAGACTCCCGTAGAGAACTAAGCTCTAACATTGTCCCTTGCTTGTAACATCTCAACACGGACCACACAGAAAACACCGTTCCTCTCTTACTCGAGTATCCGTTGCAGCGGGAACTTGTTTAACAGCCGCTTTCCGTAAACGGTCCTCCAATATCCGCCCATCTCACGGTAGTTACATAACAACGGCTCTGCGCGCAACAGCATCTTTCGGTGTTTTCTATGTGGTCGACGGTAGAAAGCAGGAAACAGTGCAATAGGATCTCCGCGTCACCACACCCACTTCAATCACGTCTTAGAATATCAGAAAATACGTACATATATTGATATTAAATACAAATTTTTTTAAGGAGCTCAAAATAAATATTTTTATTAAAATTACGACATCTAACAACAAAGGTACTAGTGTTAGTAGCTCAACTTATCTCAAGAATTTGTGCTACTTACAATTAGTTCGTGCAGTGTTCTATTGGCGCACTGTGTTACCATCTTACGGATCATGATTAAGGTATTTTTGTACAGAGATAGTATATATATATTGTATTAGATAAAATAAATATGGTATCAGAGCTTTGTATTGTGTTTACTTGACGAATCTGCAAAAGAAATTTCGTCAGCTCAAATTGTGTATACAGTCACATTTCTTACGTGTTGTGGTATATTTGCTCAAAGCAAGAACTGCAGGGCCAGAGAAACAACCGTTGCTAATCAACGGCAGCGAAACAGACAACGGAACATCTGTCGCTAGGCAGCAGATTCTTAATAAGCAAGAACAGAAGGCCGCTGGTATGTAAACACGTTCCCGCGGAAACGGTTAGCATACTAGAAAGACGGTGTGTTGTCTATACGTACAGTGCCGAGGAGTTATAAGGAAGACAAGTGTGGCAACCAAGTCAGTTGTGTATGGGAGTCTGAAAGAAGAGAGGCTGTTGGATGGGAACCTGCATTCAGAGAGGATTTAAATGCGGAAGCTGAAGAAACCCTACGGTTAAAACCGTTACCAGGGAAGGGCTGATGAAGACACAACAAGCTGGAAAAACTTAGCGTGTGATGTGATTTGTAAAGTGTGGGGATTAGCAATGGCATTGTAATTACTTGTAGTTCCGAGCGGTGTGTGTAAGTAATCAATAAATCCAATATCCAATCTAAACCCTGTCTATAGTCACTCTAACACGTGACAATATAATTATTGATTATTGGAACATATGTCTGTCTCTTGGCCATCATCAGTCTGTTTCACGATCACTGTCAGCTTAACTGTTGTCGGCTATGCAACGGCCAACGTTTACACACTTTACACCTACATGTACGTGTAACCATAGGACGAAGCTTACGTCTATGTAGATGTGATGTTTGAGATCATTACGCTTAGAGGGTGTTTGTAATTAAAAGTCGCTGGTCTGAATGTCACTTTCCTCCTTAAATGATTCAAAATCCGTCCCAAGTGCAAACAATATATATTATATGTCCTTGATCTTGTTCTCCTCTACACTACATGTTTCGGCCTCCAACGGCCATCATCAGGTGTATACTCTTACGTTGCTGCCACACTGAACCCAGTCTAAAATTTAACATTTAAAAAACACATTGTTATTTTCTTCGTTATTATCAACATCTACCTCGTTGATATCTGTCTGTTGTGTAGATTATTTTGCACACGTCAATTTTGGTTTTTCTATAATAGCACTATAAAATCTTTAGTTATAATTTTAAAATCCTTTAAAAAATATTCTCTAAATTTTAAATTTAAAATTTAAAATTGTTAGGGTTACTCGCCCTATGTCTAAGTGCTGCAGCGGCTAGTTCTTGTTTCCACACTGTACAGGTGTTATTCTGTGTAGTCTTCCTGTGTGCGTGCCGCTGCTTGTCTTTACTACGTGTGTTGTCTGATGTATTTTCCTGTTTATTAAAATATATATTAAGCTTTCAAAAAGGCGTGCACTGTCTTCGCTCGCTCAGAAGCTGGGATCGTGGGTTCGAATCCCACTAAGAGCATGGATGTTTGTGTGGGTTTTTCTGTGTTTGTGTACAGGTAGAGGCCTTGCGACGAGCTGATCACCAGCCCAAGGAGTCTTACCGAATGTGTAAGATCTAGAAAAACCGAAGTGAACGGGGAAGTTCATGGAGGTAGGCCTAGGCCCACTGGGGCTGTAGTGCCAAGGGGGGGGGGACATTAAGCTTTCAATAACGGGGATAACGGACAATCCTCCGCAAATACATTCTTTGCAATTTTGCATGCTTCACTGGTTCCAAACTTCACTTTTTGCAGACATAAACATATTGACATATTTTAGGAATTTAGGTTCTCACACCGGTGGTTATGTAGATTTCTATATTCTGGGATGTAGTGTCCTGTAGTCCGTTG